GAAAAACTTCCTTTGTCAAATCAGAGTCGGTGTGATCCACAGAACTGTTGTCAGCTTGTTCACTTGTGGAAATGTCAGACACATCTTTGTCATTTGACTTTGACTCGGCTTCTTGAACAGTCACTTGTGGTCTTAAGTCCCTTCTGTTCCTTCTTAGAATTTCACCACGCTCAGTCTGAATCTCGTATGACAGTGGTATTAATTCTCTTTCAACACATCCTTGTTGCGTCCATGTTCCTGTTGCATGATTCAGGATACGAACTCTATCTCCAGGCTTGAGTTTCTGCAGGGTTTTTGCTTTCTTATCATATTTCTCTTTTTGTTTGGTTTTATGTTTTTGTTTAGCTTCTTTTATTTTGTTTGCCCCTGCAGGTGTCAACAGATCCTGGTGGATGAGTAAGTTAGTGCGTATCCGTCGACCCATCAACATTTGTGCTGGGGACAACCCATTTTGAAGCGGAGCACTCCTGTAAATCATCAGACTCCTATGGAAGTCTGTCTTTCCGTCGTGACTCTTCTTCATGAGAGCCTTCACAATCTTTACAGAACTCTCCGCCAGCCCGTTGGACCTAGGGTAGTTTGGGCTTGATGTGGTATGTTGAAATCCCCACTCTTCAGCGAAAGCATTAAACTCCCTACTGCAAAATTGTGGGCCATTATCAGAAAACACCTCACAGGGAACTCCATGTCTTGCAAAGACTGTCTTCAGAAAAGCAATGACAGCTTGGCTAGATGTCACCTGTAGTGTTGCAACTTCTGGATAGTTGGAGAAATAATCGGTAACTACAATGTGGCTTTTACCATTGCAGTCAAACAGTTCTACTCCAACCTTTTGGTATGGATGATCAGGCACTGGATGAGGCATGAGTGGCTCTGCTTGTTGCTTAGACCTGTATGTGAGACATATTTCACATGAGGCTGTAGTCTGACTGATGTCATGGTTTATCATTGGCCAGTACATTACCTCACGGGCCCTGCACTTGCATTTATCTTCTCCTAGATGTCCCTCATACCAACTTTCTGCAGCATTTGCATTTCTTTGCGCATCGATGCAGGGATGACAAACTTGTTTTCCTTGAAGATGATGTCATTCACCACTGAAAGCTCTGCTCTGCACGACCAGCAATCTTGGATTTGCTTTGAACAGTCACTTTTCTTTTCTGGCCAACCTTTCAGGATGAACTCTTTGAGTTGTGTCATTGTTCCATCCATATCAGTTGCTTTTCTTATTTGTTCAGTTTTCTCTGGGGACATGGGAAGAGAGGTTACAATCATGTCAACGATTTCTATGCGCATCGATGCAGGGATGACAAACTTGTTTCCCTTGAAGATGATGTCATCCATATCAGTTGCATTTCTTATTTGTTCAGTTTTCTCTGGGGACACGGGAAGAGAGGTTACAATCATGTCAACATGCGCTTGTATGTCTGCATTTTTCTCACTGTTAAGGTTTTCATGCTTGTCGACTGCCCAAGAGAGTGTATCTGCTGCAAACATTAATTTTCCTGGTGTGTAGATCATTTTGACATCGTATTTTTGGAGTCTGATGAGCATTCGTTGGATTCTCATGGGACAGTCATTTAAGACCTTGGACATTATGGACACCAGTGGCTTATGATCTGTTTCCACTTCAAAGGACTGTCCATAGGCATACTGGTGGAACCTTTCGCAGGCATACGTGCAAGTCAGAAGTTCCTTCTCTATTTGTGCATAGTTGGACTCTGCACCAGTCAAGGCTCTTGATGCGTAAGCTACCGGCTGCCAGCTCTCACCATGTTGCTGCAGAAGCACAGCACCTAGGCCATATTGTGAGGCATCTGCTGAGATTTGTGTGCTGTCGTGTGGGTCATAATATCTGAGCACTGGCTCCTCTGTAATGATGTGCTTCAGATTTTGAAAGCATGCTTTCTGCTCGTGAGGCCACATCCACTCATTCTTTTTTTCGAGGAGACATCTGAGTGGAGCAGAATGCGTTGACAGCTGGGGAATGAATTTGGCCAGGTAAGTGACCATTCCAAGGAATCTTCTCACTTCCTCCTTATTTTGAGGCCGTTCCATGTTGACTATTGCGGAGGTTTTTCTTGGGTCTGGCCTGACACCTTCCTCAGACAAAACATCTCCAACAAAAGTTAGACTCTTGACTGCGAACTCACATTTCTCTCTGTTCAATTTCAGATTGGACTGTCTTGTAAGCTCTAGAACTTGCCTCAATCGTGCGTCGTGTTCTTGACGGTTGGAACCCCACACAATTATATCATCCATCATAGTCTCTACGCCTGGTAGGTGCTCAAAGATCATGTGGATTGTTTTGTGGTACCCTTCTGGTGCCGACAGAATGCCATACGGGAGACGTAGAAAACGATATCAGCCTTCTGGAGTATTGAAGGTACACAGTTTTGAACTTGCCTCATCAAGTTTAATTTGCCAAAAACCGGATGACGCATCCAGCTTACTGAACCACTTCGCTCCAGCAAACTGAGACATGATCTCTTCTCTGGTTGGCAGTTTGTAGTGTTCGCGTTTTATGGCTCTATTGAGATCTCTCGGATCAAGACATATTCTCAATGCACCATTTTTCTTAAGCACAATGACGAGTGAACTCACCCAGTCTGTTGGTTCGTCAATTTTCTTTATGACATTTAACTTCTCCATGCGAGCTAGTTCCTCTTTGAGTTTTTCACGCAATGCAAATGGAACTTTTCTGCATGCATGTACCACTGGAGTCACCATATCATCAATGCTTATTTTGTGCTCCCCAGGCAAGCATCCCAGCCCTTCAAACACATCTTTGTAATCCTCCATGAATGAAGTTTCCTCTGTTTCAACCTGTGATGTCACTACAAACACTCTTCTCACCAGGTCAAGTTTTCACATGTACTCGGCCCCAGAATTGGCTGGACGCTTTTTTCTATGATCAGCATTTGTGTCTTTAACAGCTGTCCCTTGTGTTTCAGAGTCACCAGGCAGCTTCCTTTGACAGGGACATCCTCACATGTGTATCCTGTTACTTTCATTTTTGTTGAATGAATTTTGTTTTTGACTTTGAGGGTTTTGTAGTCATCCATTGACAACAGGTTAACTTTGTTACAGGCACCTGTATCTAATTTGAATGGAATTATTGTCTCATTTACAGTCAGTGGTACAATCCATTCAGCTTTGTCTGCCGTGTTTGTCTGAACAGAATCAACAAAGAATTCCTCTGGCTGTTCTTCAACTGCATATACTTTTTTCTTTGCAACATCAGCTTTGCAACACTTTGCAAAATGATTATTCTTCCCGCAGCTATTGCAGGTTTTTCCATAAGCAGGACAAGATCGTGGCATATGTGTCCCTCCACATCTGCCGCACTTACTTTTTGGAGTTTTCACCCTCTACTGTCTTTGTTTTGTTGACTGTTTTGTGCGCTGCTCCTCTCTTTTTTTATAGCATGCACTGCAGCATCATCTCTATGCAGTTCTTTGGCTTGTGCACGTGTTATTTCAGCAGCTCTAGACATATTTACAGCTTTCTCTAATGTCAGAGCTGGTTCACGTAGCAGTCTTTCCCTGAGACCATTATCGGGAATCCCACAGACTATTCGGTCTCTCACTAGTGAATCTCTTAAATCTCCAAAGTCACAAGTCTTACTCAGTGTGTGCAGTTCAGCAAGGTATTGATCAAAAGTCATTCCTTGTTTCTGATCAGCAGAGAAAAATTTGTATCTCTCAAATGTGACATTCTTGCTTGGCACAAAGTATTCTTCAAACTTTGTCATGAGAACAGTCAGTGTTAAATTTGCCTCGTCAAATTGAAAGCTATTATATATGTCCAGTGCATCCTCACTTATGACATGCAGAAAGATCGATGCTTTTAACTTCTCATCACCTCCACCTGCGCCACTAGCAGCATGATAGATGTTGAATCTCTGCTTGAAACGTTTCCAGTTATCAGCCAAATTACCGACGAACTGCATAGGTGATGGCGGATTTAACTTCTCCATGACGGAAAACACTCAGAGTTCTCTTACTCTGTGTCAACGATGTCTTTTCGACCTGCTTTTCGCTGCTCTGCTGCACTTGGCCCGCGTGCGTGCGTCTCTTGTGCGCTCGTCCCTCGGCCGCTCTCCGTGCAGGTCTCGCTCACCGTGGGTCAGGTCTCGCTGGCGTTTTTACACAAATTCTCCAGTGTTCGCCAGTCCCTATTTCTGACACCATGTTATGTTATTAATGTGACGGGACAAAGACTTGCTGTGGTTTCTGATCATTTATTCAGTCCGCAGACACATAGCATTCAACACTCTCCCCTAGTGCACTACATAGAACTGCCCGGTCCGTAACACAGTACCGGAACCAAAGTTGTTATAACGTAAACTTTGAAACTGCTGGTTATCTTTCTTTTCTGCTCAAGATGAGAATGTTTTGATTATTGTAGACATTTTTAGTAGATAATGTTTTTAAGTAAAATATTAAAATAGTATAGATTTCAGGAGGAAAAGTCTGAACAGAAACAGTATTTTTTGTCACATGGCCTCACATGTATCTAAATGTAAAAATTCAATACATGTAATTTATTTATTTATTTATTTTTGTCCGGACCTCTGCTTGGAAGAAAATATAGAGACCGCACCGCTTGGAACTTTAACTGAATATATATAAAAAAATAAATAATTTATTTGTATGGTTTTGTAATATCTGTGCCACATATTTCCTTATGTGTCATGGTAGATAGGACTCTTATTATAGAATTTGATTACAGAAAAACTGTTTTGAACATGGTAATGGATTAAAACATATAAGTAACAGGCTGGATGTACATTAACCTTACATCTTAACACCTCTTTTTTTTTTTAAGAAAAAAAAAGAAAAAAGCAGATCATAGGTCAAATAATTTGTCACTAGCCTAAAACAGCTTCGTAAATAGGAAGATTTCAATACATGAGGATTCTGAATGGGATTTTTTTTAGCCAGCCATTAAATGACTTGAGACTCGACTCGGACTCGTGACCAAAGACTCGAGACTTGACTCAGACTCCAGCAACAAAGACTTGTGAACATCTGTGCTCTGTAGTTTCACCAGCCTAACTGTCCTTTGTGTCTTTTCTCCGTTCATGTAGAATGGATACACTCCCCTTCATATAGCAGCAAAAAAGAATCAAATGGAAATAGCTACCACACTCCTGCAGTACGGAGCTGAGACCAACATCCAGACCAAACAGGGTGTGATGCCGCTCCATCTGGCTTCCCAAGAGGGACACAGTGAGATGGCAGCTCTGCTTCTGCAAAGAGGAGCTAATGTCAATGTACCCACAAAGGTGAATGACAAAGAAAATACTTCAAATCACTACAAATATCAAATAAAAATAAATTTAAACATTGTAAAAAAAAAATACATTTGAGGCAGAGTTTGCGAAACTGCATTAAGCATTTTATTTCAATTTTTTATTCAATATGCTGTCATATTGTAAAATTAGCTATCTGGTCCTTTGTGTTTCCATACTTCGAAACATTATCACAATAAAGTAAATGACATTTGAAATAAGACAAAATACAAAATCAAATAACCATTGAATCCAATGGAATAATTTACATTACAGAAGAGCAAAAAAAAAAAAAAAAATGAAATAGCAATGGGACAAAGCAATGCAATAATTGGGTTTTTAAATGGTTTTATATACTCTGTGGTCATGTAAAACTGTGATTATACATGACAAAAGAAAATGAAAAAACAGGTAAGCCATTTTGTACCTATTAAGAGCCAATCCTCCATTTAATCTGACCTCTTGATGGATGTGTATTGTGCATGACTTTCTGTTCACTTATAAGCCCTATATTTGCTTGAGAATAGCCAAGGCCCAGACTATTATTATGCTCTTCATTTCAGATTTCTTTTTTATGATGATGAACTCCAGCTCTGTTGTGTAAAGGTCTCTGGTTTGATTGGTTCATTTATTTATTCATTATTTTTAA